GTCCAGGTTTCTACCTGGTAACAAGCTCAAGTGTGGGGGCGGCAGCAGCTCACAAGACTTCCTGAAGCTGTCCCAGTTGCCACTCAGCTCCAACAGGGCACTCTAGCTGCTTTTAATATTTTGTTACTGTCCTGAATTTCCAGAATCTCTTTTTTATTTTAAAGAGAGTATGGGCTGGGGATTTAGCTCAGCGGCAAAGCGCCTGCCTGGCAAGCACAAGGTCGTGAGTTCGGTTCCCGGTACCGGAGAAAAACCAAAAAAAAAAAAAAAAAAAAGAGAGTAGTAAATGAGAAACGACCAAACAAAAAAATAGAACAGTAGCAGCATACCAGTATCATGAACATAAAGACATCAAAGCAAGAACATTCAAAGTGATACAGGGTCTCAAGACAAAATAATATGAATCAACAGTGGTTGTTACATTACATATTGCTATTCTCAACTACATTGCTCAGATTACCAGATGCAAGTATGAAAGATTGCTCAAACCATTAAAGAGAATAAGAAAATAATTCTTCGAAAAAAAATTAGATATAATACAAAGTTTCACTAGACAAGATGGTAAGAGTTCACCATTGTAATTCCAGTGCATATTGTTACCTTCATATCAGTTGCTCAGACCACCAGGCACAAGCATGCAAAGTGGATCAGAACATAAAAATTTGTAAGCATTAACTGTGCATTTCAATACACCATCAGACATCAGCAATACAGTCATCGCAGCTATTCATATATTTATTTATATTTTGCCTGTCTTCTTTCTTTTTCCTTCTTTTCCTCATCCCAGTCGTTCCTTCCTTTGAGCAGTTTCTTTCCCTTTCCTATCATCTATTGTACGTTTTGAGTTTTACCTAGTCTTTCAGGTTCCTACACCAAGGAGACAATATGATGTTTACACATGTGGGTCCGATTTATTTCACTTATGAGTATGGTCTTTTGTTGCATCCATTTACCTACAAAAGCCTCAAGTTTATCTTTTTTAATAGCTGAGTAATACTCCATTGTATAAAAATACCACATCTTTTTTATCAGTTCCTCAGTGGATGGACATCTGGGTTGTTTCCAAGATTTAGATATAACAACTTGTACTGCTATAAACATGGGTGCACATATATTGCTGTGGTATGGTGTCTTTAATTCTTCTGGGAAAATACCCAGAAGGGGAATAGCTAGGTTAATGGGACTTTTAATAATAGTTATGTGAGGAATCTCCAAATTTATTTCCACAGTGGTTTCACCAGTTTACACTCCCACCAACAGTGGAATAGGGTTCCTTTCTCCCCACAGCCTCTCCAGCATTTGTTATTGGTTGATTTCTTGATGATAGCCATTCTTTCTGGGATGAGATGAAATCTCAGTGTTGTTTTAATTTGTATTTCTCAACTGACTAATGATGTTGAACATTTTTTCATGTATTTATTCACCATTAGTATCTCTTCATTAGACAGAATCTTGATTATTACATGCCTTAATGTAGATTTATTTTAGTTGTGGCTATTTGCCACTCTATATGCTTCATTTATTTGTATGTCAAGTTCTTTACCCATTTTTGGAAATTTTTCTGCCATTATTTCTTTCTTTTATTTTAAACAAGATAAAAAAATAAAAACAATGATGCAAAATTTCAAAACAAGATAATAGGTAATAGAAAATGGTTATCATATTGCATATTTTTATCTTCAAAGTAGTTGCTCAGCCTACATGATTGCCTTAGAGAAATCACTCAGAGGTAGGCAAATCCCAATCCTCTTTATGAACTGCTTGTCATAGTTATGATTAAATAAAAAAGAGGCACAAATTCAAGCCAATCCAACATGTACTTCAGAAAACACCCCCAGACGTCCACCTCCTGTCCCAATTTGATCTCATAGGATGCCTTTCTCGAGAGACAGGCATCTTTTGGATATGTGGAGACAAGGCATACATTTTCTTACATAGCAACTGAACCAGAACCTGTAAATTAGGCCCTTGACTCCTACCCTCTCCTTAGGAACATTCAGTCTACCTATCCTTGTCTCCCTTGTAACCTGTACAGTGCACATATAGTGCTGTATAGGGCACAGTGCACCATACAACTGGTCCCCTTAATGGCCTCCTTGGGAATAACCACAGGAACTTGGACAGGGACTGGGGCACTAGGAGTCTCTCTTTCCAAGTTCACCATGCTGTCCAAATGACCCACTAAGGAACTCAAAGAAACCTCCTACCAACTGGAACACTTATAAGATCAAGTAAACTCCCTAGCTTTAGTTGTCCTCCAAAACTGCAGAGACCTTGATCTGAGAGTTTCTCAGGGTGGCATATATTCTCTACTCCAAGAACAATGTTGCTTTTACACCAACAAATCTAGTCTCATCAGAAGTGGAGTAAATTGCCTTCATGAATGTGATTCCAAACTCCTTGAAGGCTCTCCCAACGATCTGTTTGTCTTCCTCTTCGTTATCTCCTACCCTGCCTTGCCCCCTTAATGCTTATTAGTGTATTCCTGGTTTTTCTTCCTTAGATAATTAATCTATTCCAAAGATTTCTTTTTTCAGGAATGAATAGCAGCCATCTCCCAGGCAACTACTTGAGAGCACCTCCATATGGCCTTCCTTCTCCAAGACAATAAAAAAGGCAAAAAAATTCCTCATTGCCCCCTCTTAGCACAATGTAACCAAGAAAAGAACAACAACCTATTTTCCTCTACCCTTTGAAAGGCAGGAATGATAGCATGAAAGAACCCAGGGAGACACCGCCAGTTCAAATGAGCCCACCATCCATCTTAGAGAAACAGGTTTCATTTTACTTAGGTCACAGAACGCATATCAGTAGGTCACAGAAGACAAGTCAGCAGGCCATGAGCAGTCCCTTGAGGATGTGTCAACAGGTTATAGAGTACACAAAGGACACACCAGCAAGCCATGAGCCTGCCATTTCTCTGCCCCACCCCCTAAGAAGCCCACCAACAAATGCGATTTTAAAAAGCCTCTTAGACTGAAAGAGACGTCTTCATGTCCTGCTTACACAGAAAGATCCTTCTCAAGTTTGGCAATAAAACTTCATGTCACTTTCCCACTCAACTAGACCTTCACAGCAGAACCAGGGCCAATATTCCAAACAGAAATCAAAACAACAGAAAGAATGAATGTCATGAAGAATTCTAAAAACAAATGCTAGCAATGTTGTGGGGATAAAAGAATCCCTTCTACATTGTTGGAGGAAGTGTAAACTACAATCACTATATTTACATCTGAATCTGGCATCAGCTGATTCTTTTAAACTGTCATGAAAACATCTTTTTTCTTTTTTTTTTTTTTTAGTCCTACCAATACGGCTTAAATGTCCAGCTCCATAATATGCCTTCTATGTGACTGCTGGCAACCTAACTCTGTGTAACATTTGACATTATTTCCACAGATTGAAAATGAAAAAACCAAAACTTTGCTTTGGAGTTTTGTTTAAATAAGGCAAGGTATAATCCACCGAGGACAGAATAAACAGTAACCAGTAGATATCATCATCTGATAATATTATGCTCTGTGATTACTTTGAGTATAAGAAGGTGAGATATGCACACCTGTGCACATACAATTAATATGGAATTTCAAAAAAATTGAAACTGCAAAACAAACAAACGAAAAATGGCAAACTAAAGCAACCTGATGTTAACTATATTTTTTCTTTTGTTCTATTTCCTTGTTCCCACTATTATAGACAGCCTAGTTAGAAAGAATTTAGTAGGCAATCAGAGAGGAATATGCCCTTGAGGGAATCAGTTTAGAAGATGAGACACACCAAAATTGCGCCTGGAGGCAAATCTGATAAGAGCTAAGCTTCAAGATGGAATGCAATAGCCAGTCCTGCAACCCTCCCTAGAGATAAACATCAGTTTGAAATTATACTGTAATTAGTCCGGTGATCCCAGACAGGTCCGGTGAGCTCAGACAAGTATCAGATGCATAGGTGCGTGACCACAATATCTAGACCCACTTCCCCATTCCTTTTCAGGAATGCCTTTGTTCTTTCTATGATTTGAGCTTATAGATAAGCTAAAGTTAATAATGTTCATTATACACCCTTGCTACATGTCTCTCTTCCTTAGTGGATCATTAGCTAAACAACTATACTTGTAATTCTATAGGTCAATGGTAGTTTGAATTCTAACTACCCACATTATGATTTTGCTTTATAAAATGCGCTTGACAAAGAACCGAGGCAGCTACCCACTCAGGACCCCTCCTGAAAATCCAGGAACTATTCTTATTTCCAAGAAAACATTCCTAACCTCAGCCTTTGGTTCGTGACTTTATTCCTCGATGTCGTGAGACCACGAACTTGGTACATATGGCAATACCACCATGCAAACTCATTGTTCCACTGTCGCCTAATGAGAGTTCTCATTTTGTTTGGGAGAATGGAAGCTACTCCATTCAGGAATTGCCAATAGAAGCCAATAAGAACTGTAAGTAACTTTGCTGTAATTTTGGCTTTGTCCGTATGGAAGGTGACTAAAGATTGGCTGAATTAAAAAGAAGTAGGTGAAATCAGCAATAAGCAGCCAGTTATAAGAACCAGGCCATAAAAGGAGTGAAGAGTTAAGAAAAGAATCAAAAGACGAACCCGGGAGGCTCTTTAGGGGTAAGAGCCATATGAGGAAGAAAGGGGAAAAAACAAACTACACTAAATTTCAGATACAGAATGGGGCCAGGGGCAGAAAATGCTTATGGGGAAATTCCAAGTATTGCTGCAAGAAAAGCATGCATACGGATGCACAAGGCATTTCCTTTCCTGATGGGGAAACTGCAGGGAAACATTGTGCTAATGTGAATGAAAAGGATATATACAGTTGATGGAAATAGTTTGGTAAAAGCATGTTATAATTTTAGTCAATTTAAAGTTAGAAAAGTAGGCTCCTACTTGCTAGAGGAACACACTATGATTAACCCAATAGAAGAAATCAGTGTCAACTGGACAGGGGCTCACTCTCTCACACTCGGGAAAGGAAATCACACTTCAGGGAAGAGGAATGGGCAAGGGGCAAAGAACAGGAATTGAAACAGTAAAGCAACTTTCCCCCTCCTCTGCCTGTCGCGGAGGTTCCTGTATGGTCCTGAATAGCAGGAGACACTCAACAAGGGGAAAACTGGGCATTGTACAGTTCCTGCTAAGACCTGGGGAGCTAGTTAACAAAAGGCTACAACAGGAAGTAGAGGCTGAGCCTATCATGCACAGACATTTGAAAATACAGTCTCTTTTTAAAAGAAAATTCTAGATATGATTGGGTATTCTGGAAAATGAAGACTCAGCTTGTCCCCTTCTCATTTACTAGTTTACTATCCAGACAGAAAACATGCAAAAGAAGCCAGACTGATCAACATCCTCATTTCTGCAAGACTGAGAAATGGACTAAGAAATGGGAGAATTTAAACTGGATTTAAAGGCTGGATCTGCAGATGCTGAATGGATGACTAAAGACAGAGTAAGCTTGACATCTCTGCCTTCATCTTATATGTCTCTTTTATTACCTTAAAATTTTGGGTCAAATCCGTGCTCATGTCTACACATAGATATGTCAATCACGTAAGGAATGCTTGTCTAAACACTTGTTTATGAGCCCCAAATTTACACAAAGATAAGAGTACCAAGGTATTTTCAACATCTGCCGAGTCATTTTGAGTTAGGATAAAAGCAATGAATGTGAGCATAAAAGAGACAAGAAAAATTGTACTTAGCAGGAAAACAGTCTCAGGACACATAATTACCCAAGGTTAATACTGCTTTGATTACCTTCCAGGAAACTCATTCCTCTAAAAGAAAAAGAAAGTTGCTAAAACTCTTAGAGATATAATAAGCCTGTAAATTGGTCTTTTGCTTTACACCTGTAAATTAAATCTGTACTTTTCATCCCAGACTTTCATCCTTAAGGAAGGCATACTATTAAGTAATATATCTATAAGCTTCAAATACATACAAATAGTTTCCATTCCAACTACTGGGCACCAAATGGGCCACCTGATAGACAGTAAGGATACATCTCCAAGATCAGCCATCTTGAGGACAACCCCAAGTCCACATAAAGACTCCTAACACCAGACCATAATGGACCTCTCTCTTAAGGGGCCATACTCTATTTTCTCTCAGTGTGGACTTCTTTAACTCTACCTAGTAGTATCTGTCTGTGCCTCTCGTTGATTTCTCCTGCAGATTTTTCCTGTGATGTAAGTTAGCAAACCTACAACCTAACCTGTGGGATGGGTGAGTTGAAGTTCCTAGCTCCTCTTTGGAGGACCTCTTCTGACAATGTCCAGTGACAATTCAATTGGCAGCTTTTACAATGCCCTCTTGTGGATGTACTGGAGCAGGGCTTAGAAGTCTCCAGTGATTGCCCCGAACCTGAAGTCACCTCAGGTTACAGGGAAAGTGCAGCCTCACAGACCTATCACCCTATGAAGGAATAGATGCTACCCCCACCCCAAGCAGCAGCAGTCGTCTCATGGGAACCAGATAGCTCCTTCAAAGTACTTTTGCTTGGTGTCTTAGCTACTCTATTATTACTGGAACAAAATACCCAATACCCCCAAGTTAAAGGAGAAAAGGTTTATTTTACTTTTAGCTCAGTTTGTAGTGATGTGAGTCCATAGTTGGCTGGCAGGGTAGCATAGCAAAGGTGCATGGCCAAAGAGAAGCAGTTCATTGCATGGCAGGCAGGAAGCATGGGGCAGTAACAGCATTCTTTCTTTTTTTCCCTTTTATTTCATCTAAGCTATAACCCTGTTGGTTGGTGCCACCCACATCCAGGGTAGTCCTTCCCATTGTCCACATCTAAAACTACACAGAACAATCAGTGGATTCATCTAGTTATCACATACCCATAATCCCCTATCACACACTCACTATTCAGACATCTTCCAAAAGCCATAACTACGAGCTTCTGAGGCTCTGCGGGTTGCATCTAGATAGAAGCCATAACACTAAGCCACCCCCATAACTGGTGCTGAGAAAACATTCAACCAGAACACAGCTTACTCAAGATTACCTACCCTGCTAGCAGTAAAATACCTCCATCTACATAAACCTTCAACCTTGTTTTTGTTCTCCTTTTCTATGCAACCTCAAAGTTTCAATCATACTCTTGAAAATAGATCTTGAATCTTTTTATCTATCTCTCTTAATATGGCCGGGCTGATTAAAATTCTTTTCTTACCTTCTACTACAGCTCTTCTCCTTGATTGGTATTTTGGGACCTTCATCTCTAGCAAACCCTGGAGCCAGGCCTTTGTCCCTAAAGTCCTGGAAATAAGGCTACACTAAGTACCAACTGTGCTATGTGCCACTAGGAACGCAGTTGTTGAGGAAGCCTTAGAAGATGGAGAAACTGAGGATATACAGGCTGGACAACTTATAGGGATCCACCAGTGTAGAGGAACCTGTGTCTATTAGCAGGAAGGGCTTCCTGGAAAACCTGTAATTACTCAGAACTTTCCCTTTACCTACGCATGTATATCAGAGGGCCCTCTGGTTCTGAGATATTGTGACAAGAGTTTTCTTCTACCTGTGTGTTTTAGTCAGTAGAAACCTTATGCCACTAAGGCAGGATAGAAGAAATTTTTTAAAAGCGGGCAGAAAAGAGGCAAAAAATAGAATTTTTAAATTGCACTTTACAAAAATACAGCTTCAGGACACAAAAGTTACGGAAGTATTTGTTCCCCTCCAAGACTCTCAAAAAATTCCTAAAGGTTTTAAAGGTATGATAAGCCTGTGAATTGGACTCTAAACCGGTCCTTTTCACCTATAAATTGTGTTTCCTCCATCCTCAATGAAGCAGCAGTATTAGTGGACAGGGTATCTCAACTTGAAACACATAAATGGTTTGCATTCCAACATAGCCTGCCAGATGGTAACTTGACATGCAGTACAAATACACGTCTTAGATCACCCACCTTCAAGACACCCCCAAAACCCAATAAGGACACTCAACTCTGACTCATAATGAGCTTTTCTCTCTTAAGGGTCTGCACTCTATTTCTTTTAGCACGTATGTTTGAATTTCTGCCTAATAAAACCCTTCACGTGCCTCTTGCTGTCTAGTCCTAACAATTATTTTCCTGCTGTGGGAGTCAGCAAACCTCCACACATTCTATGTTTATGCTGGGTTAAGTACCTTATCTCTGCTGTGGGGACATCGTCAGATCCAGTCCGGTGACACTATAATATGTATATGTGTGTGTAAAGAAAGAAAAAGAGCAAAAGACACAGATTGGAGGAGTAAAAGAAGGAAGAGAGAAGAAAGGAAGGGAGGAAAATGAGAAGGGAAGACAGAAAGAAGGGAGAAGGGGAGACGGGAAGTAGGAATAAGAAGGTAGAGAGGAGAAAAGGGAGAAGAGTATACAGAAGTAGAGAGATGAGTCAGAAAGAAGAAAAAGGAAGAAAAGAAATTGACCACTACTAGATACTGTACAAACTTTAACTTCAGGCAGGCCACTAAACTGATTTGTTAATTTTACATCCCTAAACTGTAAATAGAGCAGTCTGACATTTATATCTTTGCTCAAGGCAAAACTATGGAATATAAAACATATTTTCCATTTCCTTTTCAGGAAGGAAGTGAGGAAATGAGGTGTACTTCAGAGGACTGTGAATCCATTTGCTATCTTAATCTGCCACAAATACTTATAATAATTTGGATATACTGCAAAAACAAATAAAGAGTTAGATATCTGTCTTCAGAGTATCAACAGCTCAGATGTGCATTGGCTATTTCCATTTCCAAAACAAGCCTTGTCCTTCATGATGGAATTGCGTCCAACAGCAGAGAGCATGTGTCATGCAAGCAACACCCACACTATATATATACCTTTTTCTTGCTTTCATAGCAAGTATCTCTAATTTAAATCTCTTCCTTAAAGTAGTAAGTGAGAAGATGTGCAGTAGGAGAGAGAGGAGAAATAGACAGGTGAAGACAAACGAAGTCTTTTGTGTCATTTGAAGCAAGTGTTATAAATTCACCAAAATGTTAAGTGAAGTTAATCAGTTTCACAAGCTTCAATAACACAGGTTTTTCTTATATGAAAAACCCAGGATACACATAAAGAGTAAAATAAAAACTAGATAGTGGGAAACATGGAGATAGGTATTTTGCAAATGGGAAGGGGACCAGGAGGTGGAGGGGGGTAGAGGAAGGTGAGGGGGAAAAGGAAGAAAAAAGAATTGTGATATGTTATGTATGTGTGTTACCAACTCTTCATGAGGAATGTAATCATGTACTGCAAATATGCCCTAATCAAAGATAAAAATTGAAACACATTATACCCAGACTAGCCACAAATGTGCACCTTCTCATAGTTTACTTTTCAGGCCCAGTGAAGTAATGCAAATCTGAGACTTAGAAGAAATTCTGCATCTCAGTCTCCCTTCATATCATTAAATGCTAAGAATCATAGTAACCTTCCAGATTGACTGCAGCATTTCTCAAAGCATGTTCTATTAACCCTTGGTCCACACGACGTAAATAGGTGTAAAGGAAAACATGCACACATACAATAGAAAGGATTTATCGGCATGGTGGAAAAATGCTGGATTAAATAATTACAGGTAGGTTTATTGTAGGGTTTCTCAGAGTCTTCAATGGGTGAACACTCATTATGAATTTTCACAATGTTTGTGATGTCAACATATTTTACCTTAGAATCCTTTTCATTTTTTAAACAAATCGTGTTGTGGGACTAGGGTTCATCAAGAACATAGTTTAGGAAATGCTAGTATAATCCAATGTGCTCATTTTATTCAAAAAGTATAGTACATAAGTAAGAGAACATACTTTAAGCCACAGATTTTCTGACTTCACATTCCAGTTCTTGACAAGTTGCTTAAGATTTCCAGGTAATGTTTTTCATCTTTAAAATGAAGGTAATAGTGGTAGTGTTATAAGGATTAAGAGAGTATATAAATATGTGATTAACGTTCATATAAACTTAGAATAGTATTTGATATATTGTACCTCTGTAAAATTTTGATATTATTCTTTTATGCATAAGGAAAGTAAAGCCTGGAATGGTATTTTTTTTAAAGGCTAAGGTCAAACAGCATGTCAGTATCAAAACTGGGAACAGAACCCAGGTCTCCTGACTCTCTAACTGGTAAATGGTTTCTCAAATAATGAAAATGTTTTTAGAATTCATCAAAAATCTTTCTAAAGAACTTAAGTATTATACCACAAAATCACAAATGTTATCTAAAAAGATACAACTCTAAAACAATATAGTGTTCTTTGGAACAATTTCTGAGTTGTAGTTTCCCAAGTATAAAGTGAGGTCAAAGCACGTTTTGATAGTGAAGAAAACAATTCCAGTACAAATGAAATAGTGGTCAAAATGCTAGACCACTGCTACCAGGCTGTCCTATTGGTAGATACCTTCTGGCCTTGCAGTGCACTACCAGAAGTCTCTGTGGATGTGAAAACAAATCTCCTTAAAATGAGTTGAATTTTGAGAGTTCCTAAGATTATTATATACTAACTTCCCTATCACTGTTTGGCTTTGATGGACAGAGAAAAAATACAAAGTTGTTGAGTGCATAATACATACCAGGCCCCCACCATACCTTATTTTAATCTTCCGAAAAAACCCAAAAAGTAGATATCATTGTATTTACAAAATGAGAAAACTGATACTCAGAGTATGTAAGTGATTTGTCCAGGAACTCAAAACTAATAAATATATCTTGAATTCAATTCAAGCTGTCTGCTCATTATTTTTCCACTATATAACTCTAGTCGTTAGACTGAAAGGATAAATAAGATGGATTTGGTGTTTCAGGAATTGGAAAGGGAGTACAGTTCTCAGCTCTCGAAGTTCCATTTCCTCAATAATGAAAAATACTTCAGTACTTACTTTATCTTTATTCAGACCCTGTGTTTTTTCTAAATGAATTTGAGGGGCTTATAATAAAAGACACATCAGGTGCCTTCATCAGGTGTTTGATCTACCAACACTTGTATTTTGGTCTTCCCAGTCTCTAGAATTATAAGAAATGAGAATCTGTTCTGAAAGCTACTTGAAGACAAAAGATGAAACATCAAGAAAGAGAAACAGAAGGAAAAAATGAGGAAAGTGTTGCATATGTCATCTTTTCAAGAGTGGTTGAAGCCAGATGGAACTTTTTGATTTCCAAAATTCATCCTTTTGGTGTAAGACTGTCAAAAAATGACTCAGATTTCTGTGCTGTGAAACCAACGAAAGCGTTGAGACCTCAGTGAGAGGACAACATGTCTGTTGTGCCACGTTTAGATGCATAAAACTATTCTTCATTCTCTATAAACACACAACAGAGTTTGGAATTTATATTTTGTTTTTGAAGACCCACATCCAACACTTGGGAGTGTGAAGGTGCTTATCAGTGGCATCCACAGGGTGCTTATTTCCTATTCATTTTATCTGAATGGCTGTGCTCTTTTGAATATTGTTCCTAATAATCACATACGATATACTGTTACATATCCCAAATGTTAGATTTCTATTTTTCAGTAATGCCTCTTCTTTCCACAAGTATTGCAGACTTTTATAATATGAAATAATCTTTAATTTATGAGCATAATATACTGCTTTTACCCTTACTTTAGTACATTGTTTCAGAGTTTCCAAACAAATTTTTAGCTTAAAAAATGATCACAGTTTTTTTAATAAAATAAGAAAGCAAATAACAGTACTGTAGGCTAGCCTTTTATATTGTCTCTGATGGCTTTGTAGATGCTTGTACATTTTGCTTTGGTATTTAGGTAAAGGTAACCAGTCCAACCACATTCCTGAAAGCTGCCTTTAAGACAAGCTTCACTGTGAAGTAACAGATGGAAGGGAGGAATAGGTTGATTTATTTTAAATTGAAAATTGAGGTACTATTGTTTTGTTGTTGAGGCAAACAGCTTAAAAATAATCATGAGTACCATTCTTTGCTAATATTAAAGTTTAATATGTTATTCATACTAACATTGTGTAGTGCTGCTACCGAATGGAATTCTTTAAAGAATGTTTCCTTAGAGATTCAAAGAAAAAGTACTGTAAAATGATATATTAAACATCTTTATATTTAACACCTTCTCTCCTGTAATATTTGTCTTAGGTACCTTACATTTTGTATCAAGAAAGTTATTTCCTTATGCTTGAAATGATGACATTTCAGAAATGTATCAATAGAGGACCAATAGAGGATATAGGTTTGTTTTACATTGTTTTATTTGCTGTCAAAATAAAGGTATCTTAGTTTTAAAATTAACCGTTTTCTTTTTCCTAAGAAAACTAATTTTCATAATTACAGGATAAATCACGGTCATTTCAAAAGAGCACAATAAAATGTAAGTCTTAGCCATTACTTATTTTAAAACTCTTTTTTTGTCATTTGTAGTTTAATTAAAACAATTATCCTGTCTTCTGGAGGAGAAAATAACTGAAGCAGTATGAAGATGGAGGTCTGAAGCAATATATTGCTTTCTTAATATTTTCTGCCTTGAAGCTTGTATTTGCTCATATAATTTGTGCCGATGATGGATCAAATTACGATCATGCTTCCCAGGATAAATTTAAATTTACCAAAAGAATCATGTAGGAAAAGAAAAACAAGAAGGTAGCTTTGTAATGCAGAAAATTTTTAAGCAGTCTCTTAAAAATATGTTCAGTAGCAAAAAACGGAACTGCAATCAAGAGACCTGAACTTTCATGTGGATTCCTTCAGACCAAGCAGTTTTCTTCTCCATTTTCTTCTTCAGCAGAGGCTGAAGATTAAGCAGCCTGCCCCTGCTAATTCCCTGCACTGTGCTTAGCTGATCACATGATTTGTGACACAAAAGATGCAGGTTCAGAGTTCTTAGCCCAATATGAATGTCTCCTAAGGTACTTGGCACCGGGAGTTAAGTGAGTATTAGAAGAGAAACAAGGTTTGAAATGTCTAAAAACAGAAATTAATCTATAGAAAATATCAGATAATTAGATAGGAAAATCTGTTAGCAGAGAATTAATCAATACCTTGCACCAACCTATAGCAGAAATGTCTGGTGTACCTGTGTATGAAGATACATTTATTTTGCATTTATCATTTAAGCAAATTTTAATCAACCATGCCATAGGAAGGACTGAATTATCTCTCTATTCTCTATGTATAAAAAGGTATTACAAACATTGTATATTATGAAGTCACAATCAAAGAATATACAGCCAAAAAAGTAGAGAAAATACATAGAGTTATGCCAAGCAGTTAATAAAAATAAAATAGTACTTTTGAGGATTTGTGATATTTGTGCTCATTATCAAATTGTAAAACATGTGACTTATCATTTCTGCTATTACAGATATTCACAAAAAATAAAATAACACAAATAAAAATTATGAAAAGGGGGAGGAAGCAATTATGCCATGTACAAGGGTTAATGTACTTCATATCATGCAATTGTAAATCTCCGCTGAGTTTTCAAGCAGTCAAACCAAAAATTATCTGCTATTTTAGGAAAACTTCAAATAAGTAGTAATTTTCTTGAGAGCAGGTAAGGTGGATTGAAAAGCATTTTGTAAAGTGTAGAATGTTATTGCTATTTAAATTGTTATCTAGAATACCATTCTGTACCCATATGGCTCTCAAAAGTATTTTGATTGTTGTTTCTAAGATAACTCCACACAGTTTATCATAGTCTGAAACCAGCCCCTCTGCTACTTGCTTAAATGTTTGATCTTGAACAACAAACTTTAGCTCTCCTGACCTCTGCTTTCACACTGTGGATTGAGAGCTTAGACTGTAAGTAAAAGAACTTTACATATATACTTGTAGCTCTATTGAAGTATAATTTACATACTATAAAATTCACCATTTTATGTGTATAAGGCAATGATTTTAGTAAAGTTATTATTGTATAAACACCACAGTGTAATTTTGGAATAGTTTTATCACACCTAAAACAAACTCAGCTCCCATTCATTCTTCATGAAGGTATTTAATTTTTTTATTTTTTTAGTATATGTTTGCAGCATGTAATGATTAAATTTATCAGGGGGAGCTGGTGCATGTATATAACAGATCCTCATACTTTTTGCACCCCCTACACTTTCCCATCCCCCCTCCTTGTATCTTTTGATCCAGATTCTTTCTAACTTATCCACTTATAGGTTTATAAACCTTTAGCAGTTCTTTGATACTTACAGAACACAGTTCACATTCTTCAATGTAATATTCAAGTTCTTTTACAATGCGTAAAATCCATCCTGTCAACTCAGTTCCTTCTTCAGTACCTCTCACTCCTTTGCCTTAATGAGTTGCCTGCCTCTGAGTTTATTTGGCAAGGAGTTCTTCTCACTACCATCATCTCTCAAGAGTCAAATCCTATCTATTATCCT